CTAAGATTTGAAAATTTTTAATAATCTATAATATATCCTAGACAGATAAACCGTCTTCGCTCAGAATCGTTTTTCGTATACAATGATATAATATCATTGGATTCAAATTTAATTCCAYCCATTACAGTAACCCACTTGTAATCTACTGTACAGCAGAGCGACATCCACGACTTACCCGCCTTTTTTATGTTGTTTTTCGCACTGAGGGAATCTGAAAAAGTTGTTGCTCTTGTAATGTTTGAGTCTATGACTAATTGTATACCTTTGAGAATTGCAAATGATTCCGCAGTGAAAATTGAACTAATAACATTTGGGAGCTTTCAGCTTATATATTCGCTTCAAGTCATTCCAGATTACCGAAGYTCCGACTACCGCTTTAGATAATATGTAAACTTATCTTGCATCTTTTGGTATACATTTGACACTATTGAGCATATAAATGCATTATGAATATATTGATTATTTCGAGATTATTTGGTATATATATTATAAATTATAAACATAATTTTAAAATTGTCCATATTATTATCATTTATCATCGTTGATTTGTATTATACTTTATTTTAACAAGTTCATCACAGAGACAGAACTACAAAATAAAATATGAACACTGTAAAATAATATAGTTGTCAATGTAAATACAACCCAATGTAACATGTCGCCGAGGGTATATTTCGTGTTAGTAAAAAAAAAAAAATTTTAACTTCATGAATAGAATTTATATCATACTCAGATATAATTTAGGTTGCGTGAAAAAAATATGCAATAATAAACATCCAAACTTTATACTGATTAGATACTTAAATATAATAATGGTAATAAGTAATAACTGTGATAGATAGTAGATACCTACTTATTATGCGGCCATTACTTATTATACACCTGCCTTACGGTTATACCCATTTGTCAGTGATGCGCTTGTCTTGTACCTAGGCATAACGCATAATTGTACTTATTATACTAATAACCAGGGTTGGGATTTTATAGCATTTGCATATTTCTTATGATTAATTTCTTATTCTTGGTGAACTTACATGTAGCGATATTGTATATTTCAAATACGCAYCAATTGTGTCAGTGGACGTCGAACGTTCATTTTCGACGTACAAGACTTTGTTGGCTGACAACCGCCGTAAATTCAAATTTGATAATCTGGCCAAGCATTTAATAATCCAATGTAACACTCAAGGTAAACATTTTAAATCGCTTACTTTTTATTTAAAATTTTTGAAAATAATTAATTGGGTAATTTTTTTTACAGCCCTTCAGGATTCTGACCAGAGTGACTGAATTACGTATACCGTATTGTTGTNTAATGGCATCTGTAGATTATTTATGACCCGGTAGGTACCTATTGCCTATTGGTTATAATAACTAAAGATATGTATTATTTATAGTCATTTGCTATTTAAAATACTGATGAGCAGTCAGCAGAGCTTAGATGTTGATGACCAAAATATTATTAAAATATGTATTTATATGACACAAAATATAATAAATATACCTATTTTTCGACAAAAATGTGCAAAAAAAACTAAAAAGGTTAAACATCAATTCAAAAAAATTATATTCTCATATAAATGGGTATTTTTTTTTTTATAAGGTTTTATTTTAAGACATTCCTAGCCAACAGTAGGSTATCTAAATCTAGAGATAATATTTACAAATTTAGTTTTTGACTTTTATAACATGATAACGTTAAGAAAAAAAAACACAGATAGTATGATTAGCTAACAGTTAATTATGTACGTAGTTTCTTGAGCGTTAGTTATGCAAGTAGGCCGTGTGGTCGTCCGCGTCGGAGGCGGCGTTGGATCGGTGGTTCTATGTTGAGTTGATAATGCATTGATCCCGTTGACTTTTGAATAGACCTGAAGAAACTGTCAGCCAGAATTTTAATGTGGTCTTGAAGTTTTGGTATCTTGAGGTCTTTGTGAATAGGTACTTTGATTTCTTACAAACCATGGTGCGTTAGTTATTATTCTTAAAATCTTATTTTGGAATATTTGGAGTTTTTTTAAGTGGGTAAGAGCGCATTTGCCCTAGATAGGGCAAGCGTAGGTAATCAAAGGGCGTAGTATTTGCTTATAAATAAGTAATGAACCTTTTTTCTCTAAGGTCGATTTCCTGTTTAAAATAGGGAACAGCATAGAAAGGCGTTGGTAAGCTTGGATTTTCGATGATAAGTGCGGAAATGTGTATTTAAAATTATATTTTATTACAAAATACATAGAATATGAAAAAATTATTAATTAGTTTCCGATATATTAGAATTAGATTCTACATGGGTTTAGTACTTTAAGTATCAGAATTACACCTAGATAACAATTATTTTTCTGATATTTTCAAATTTGAAAGATCTTTGTTGGTCCAAAAACATGTTTTTTTTACAGAGTTGACCAATATAGGTACATGCTTAAATTTAACTAGGTCGTCAGTTTCCATATAGCCACTGTGTCGCTGGTTTATAAATAGCTAGTATCTATTCTTCTAATTCTATGAGTGTGTTACTCATAAACACAATGATATTAGCGATTTTTTAGCTGGTAACTGTTTTGGCCGAGTGACTCTGATAAGTCTGATAAATGTTCTATAAAGGTTTGAGGCCAGTCTTGATTCGGAGTATGAACGACTTTCGGCCATTATGTGTTTTATTGATAATTCACTAATTCAGTGCCACATGTTGGACATACTGGAGGATCGTTTTTGCTCATTAAATGGCTGTGAGAAATTTGTGTATGCCCGATCCGTAATCTAGTGAGTATAACTTCAAACTTTTTAGGAAGGTTTGAGGGATGAGGCCATATGAACACATCTTGTTTAATTTCGTGGAGTTTAGTGCGCTCGGAATTCCAGTTGGCCTGCCACATATTGATACAGTGCAGTTTTATTATAGGTAATAAATCATGTTTGGTTAAGTTGGACTTATGTTGCTAAAGGATTAGTTATTGCATCTTTGGCTGCCTTATCGGCCATCTCATTTTCGATAATACCCGAATGACCCGGTATCCAGCACAGTTGATCCGTGTTTCATCCTTTTTCTGGGCGTCGGTAAACTCTCCCAATTTTATGGTAAACTCTCCTGGGTTAATATAATGTTTACCTGAAGTAAATGTGTAAACACTCCCGGGTTAACTTTATAGTTAGGTACCTGTAGGAAGCATGTTAACTCTCCCGAGTTGTATTAAATGTTAAAACATTTTTTTAGGAACAAAAATAAATTCCCTAACTTTTTTAAAATCTGTATATTCTTATTATCAAAAACAATAATTTTAACATTTTTACGTATATTTTGTATTTGTAACTTATATCATTATTATTATTATTATTATTATTGACTATTTTTAAAAGAAACTTAAATGTATATCAGATTTTTTTTAATTTTTTTTTTATTGTATTTTCAATTTTGACTATAATATTATAGCACATAGCATCTAAAGACATTAATTTATATTGTTATTATTATTATTATTATTGTTATTATACATGATCGACTATTTTTAAATGCAACTTAAATGTATATTAAATTTATTTTATGATTTTTACTAGACCTGGGAGAGGGGTACCACACGATTGCGTACGATGTATCTTTTTGAGAACACGATTGCGT